ATAGACAAATGGACCAGATAGACAAAGTGGACCCCCCCATAGCAAAATGGACCAGATAGAAAAGTGGACCCAATAGACAAAGTGGGGGCCCGATAGACAAAGTGGACCAGATAGACAAAGTGGCCAGTAGACAAGTGGACCAGATAAAAAAAATTGGAAAGATAGACAAAGTGGCCCGTAGACAAAGTGGACCGATAGACAAAATGGACCCGTAGACAAAATGGACCCGATGACAAAGTGGACCAGATAAAACAAAGGGCCAGATGACAAAGTGGGGCCGATGACAAAGTGGCCCGATAGACAAAAAAGGGGCCGATAGACAAAGTGGACCAAATAGACAAAATGGACCCCCGATAGACAAAATGGACCGATAGACAAAGTGGACCATGTATATATATATATATATATATATATATATATATATATATATATATATATATATATATATATATATATATATATGAATTGTGAGAGTGTGCAGACCGTATGTGATATTTATTTAACTAAGGCTGTACACAATACTTTCATAAAGAATGGATACATAATATTTGATTAGGTGTTGGTAACAAAAATAAGGAAGGAGAGGTAGTGTATGGTATACATAGAACATAGGGACATGCAAGATAAGCTTTGACAGGTGCATATATCAGGTCATTTCAGGTAGGTACCTGAACATAACAGGTATTGACAGGTTTGAAGGTGAATAATAAGAGTGTTGACAGGTCATCTGGAGGCACTCCGCCAGCAGCGACGTAAAATAGCGATGGAGGACCTGAAGCAACAACAAGCGGCTCGGGTGATAGCCAAGCAATTGGAGAAGGCAGAGGAACAGCGGATCGACGCCGCTATGGGTGTCCCGGGCAACTATGATCCTTCCTTCGCGAACCCGGCCGCTGCCAGACGCGATCCAGGTGAGACTACCGGTATCACGAACCCGACCGCTTCCAGACGCGATCCAGGTGAGACTACCGGTCCCTTCCTTCACGGACCCAGCTGCTTCCAGGTGAGACCACCGATCCCTTCACGCACCCGGCCGCTTCCAGACGCGATCCAGGTGAGACTACCGGTATCACGAACCCGACCGCTTCCAGACACGATCCAGGTGAGACTACCGATCCCTTCCTTCACGAACCCGGCTGCTTCCAGGTGAGACCACCGATCCCTTCCTTCACGAACCCAGCTGCTTCCAGGTGAGACCACCGATCCCTTCCTTCACGAACCCAGCTGCTTCCAGGTGAGACCACCGATCCCTTCCTTCACGAACCCAGCTGCTTCCAGGTGAGACCACCGATCCCTTCCTTCACGAACCCGGCCGCTTCCAGATGCTATCCAGATGAGGCAAGAGACACCTTCCATCCGTCCTTCGCGAACCCGGCCGACTCCAGACGCGCCTCAGATGAAACCACTTTCGACCTTTTCGGTGCTATACTCGGCTATACCTTCCCGGTCAGAGGCGTCACAAGATTAACCAGATAAGAAAAAAATTTAAACCCGTTGAAAAAAATAAATAAGGCGTGCATCTATATTCCAAAGGTGATGAAGGAAAACCTAGAGGTGCGCGACAGATGTGGAAAACAAGTAGTTTGAAGAATTTGCATCTTTAGAAAAATTAAAAAAAAAAAAAATCCTTGCAAACTTTTTTTTTCATTGTCGGATATTTTAAAGGAAATCTTTAGCGTATTGTTGAAGGAGTAACGATTAGTAAGGTCAGACGAGAGTTGTTCGTGTCATAACAACGACAGTGGTAAAAGGTGTCAAGTTAAATCAGTAACTTCAGTCCCAAATAAACTCTCTCTCTCTCTCTCTCTCTCTCTCTCTCTCTCTCCTCTATATATATATATATATATATATATATATATATATATATATATATATATATATATATATATATATATATATATAATTATATATATATATATATATATATATATATCTCGCCTACTCTTCCTGCCTCTTAGTGTAAATGTAACCTTGTAAATACATAAGAACATAAGAACATAAGAACATAAGAACGAAGGAACACTGCAGAAGGCCTACTGGCCCATGCGAGGCAGGTCCAAGTCTCCTACCGGCTTAAGCCAATGCACCCAACCTAGTCAGGTCAGGTCACATTGACTTAAGGGAGGAACACGGCAACCGACCTGGTAGCACAAGCTATCAGGTCTAACTCACACCCACCCACATCCACTCATGTATTTATCCAACCTATTTTTAAAGCTACACAACGTTCTGGCCTCTATAACGGTACTTGGGAGTTTGTTCCACTCATCCACAACTCTATTACCAAACCAGTACTTTCCTATATCCTTCCTGAATCTGAATTTTTCCAACTTAAAACCATTGCTGCGAGTCCTGTCTAGGCTAGATATTTTCAGCACGGTGGCCCGGTGGGGGATATGACAGTGTGAAGACACGGCTGACGGGGGGATGAGTACGAGTGGAAGACACGCTGACGGTGGATAGTGACGATTTTGGGAAAAACACGGCTGACGGTGGATATACGAGTGGAAACACGGCGCGGTGGAAGTGACAGTGTGAAACACGGCTAGGGTTTAAAGATGCGATGTGAAGACACGGCTACGGGGATGATGACGAGGGTGAAGACACGGCTGGGGTGGGATGGCGAGGAAGACACGGCTGAGGGTAGAGAGGGGGCGAGTGGAAAAAGGGCTACGTGGATAGGGGCGAGTGTGAAAACAGGGCTAGGGTGGTGATGCGAGTGTGAAGCACGCTGACGGTAGAGAGGGGCGGTGTGAAAACACGCGACGGTAATAGTGGCAGTGTGAAGCCCGGGCGACTAATGATGGCGATGTGAAAACACGGCTGACGGTGGATGAGTGATATCAAGGGGGGATCCTAAACAAAAATCCTTCACTAAAAAAAAAATTCCACTTACCTGCAACGGGAAGCCCAAATAATAAAAATAAAAAAATATTAATAATAAAAAATAAAATAAAAATAAAAAAAATAATAAAATAAAATAATAATAATAATAACAACAACACCAGAAAAAAATAATATTTGCATTAAAGTTCTTTAAGGTGAAGAGTAAATATATATCTTCATTCAGCCTTGAATCAGTTTCTCAACTGGGACTCACAAGGGTAGATAGACAAAGTGGACCAGATAGACAAAGTGGACCAGATAGACAAAGTGGACCAGATAGACAAAGTGGACCAGATAGACAAAGTGGACCAGATAGACAAAGTGGACCAAAAGACAAAGTGGACCAAAATAGACAAAGTGGACCAATAGACAAAGTGGACCAATAGACAAAGTGGACCAATAAACAAATTGGACCAGATAGACAAAGTGGACCAGATAACAAAGTGACCAGATAGACAAAGTGGACCAGATAGACAAAGTGGACCAGATAGACAAAGTGGACCAGAAAACAAAGTGGACCAAAGACAAAGTGGACCAGATAACAAAGTGGAAACCAGATAGACAAAATGGACCAGATAGACAAAGTGGACCAGATAGACAAAGTGGACCAGATAGACAAAGTGGACCAGATAGACAAAGTGGACCAGATAGACAAAGTGGACCAGATAAACAAAGTGGACCAGATAGACAAAGTGGACCAGATAGACAAAGTGGACCAGATAGACAAAGTGGACCAGATAGACAAAGTGGACCATCCACTTTCAGTTGTCAACCTGAAGTGTAACTTAAGCGTCTGTAACATTTCTAAGTTAATATTACATTAGGACAGCATTATATTTTTAATTGATGACTTACACACATGTGCGACAGTTAGGTATCTATATGTGAAGACGTTTCGCCAACCTGTGGCTTTATCATTTTAATACAGAGGTTATTGTAGGTAGTACTTACTCAGGTTCTGGTGTACACAAAAGACATATTTATGGTTCAAAACAATGCTGGAGGAAACGTCGTAGAGACTGACTTCTTGAGCCTTCAAGAAGAACTTGCTGAAGAGTCCACTCGGGGCGAAATGGCACATGGATCGGGGCGAAACGGCACAATGGATCGCTGAAATTGACCGAAGAAAACAGAAGTGTGAAACAATTTCAAATGTTGCATATATATATATATATATATATATATATATATATATATATATATATTATATATATATATATATATATATATATATATATATATATATATATATATATATATATATATATATATATATATATATATATATTATATATATATATATATATATATATAAGTACATTTATGCATTCTTGAATTGTGAGAGTGTGCAGACCGTATGTGATATTTATTTAACTAAGGCTGTACACAATACTTTCATAAAGAATGGATACATAATATTTGATTAGGTGTTGGTAACAAAAATAAGGAAGGAGAGGTAGTGTATGGTATACATGGAACATAGGGACATGCAAGATAAGCTTTGACAGGTGTATATATCAGGTCATTTCAGGTAGGTACCTGAACATAACAGGTATTGACAGGTTTGAAGGTGAATAATAAGAGTGTTGACAGGTCATCTGGAGGCACTCCGCCAGCAGCGACGTAAAATAGCGATGGAGGACCTGAAGCAACAACAAGCGGCTCGGGTGATAGCCAAGCAATTGGAGAAGGCAGAGGAACAGCGGATCGACGCCGCTATGGGTGTCCCGGGCAACTACGATCCTTCCTTCGCGAACCCGGCCGCTGCCAGACGCGATCCAGGTGAGACTACCGGTATCACGAACCCGACCGCTTCCAGACGCGATCCAGGTGAGACTACCGGTATCACGAACCCGACCGCTTCCAGACGCGATCCAGGTGAGACTACCGGTCCCTTCCTTCACGGACCCAGCTGCTTCCAGGTGAGACCACCGATCCCTTCACGCACCCGGCCGCTTCCAGACGCGATCCAGGTGAGACTACCGGTATCACGAACCCGACCGCTTCCAGACGCGATCCAGGTGAGACTACCGATCCCTTCCTTCACGAACCCGGCTGCTTCCAGGTGAGACCACCGATCCCTTCCTTCACGGACCCAGCTGCTTCCAGGTGAGACCAACGATCCCTTCCTTCACGAACCCAGCTGCTTCCAGGTGAGACCACCGATCCCTTCCTTCACGAACCCAGCTGCTTCCAGGTGAGACCACCGATCCCTTCCTTCACGAACCCGGCCGCTTCCAGATGCTATCCAGATGAGGCAAGAGACACCTTCCATCCGTCCTTCGCGAACCCGGCCGACTCCAGACGCGCCTCAGATGAAACCACTTTCGACCTTTTCGGTGCTATACTCGGCTATACCTTCCCGGTCAGAGGCGTCACAAGATTAACCAGATAAGAAAAAAATTTAAACCCGTTGAAAAAAATAAATAAGGCGTGCATCTATATTCCAAAGGTGATGAAGGAAAACCTAGAGGTGCGCGACAGATGTGGAAAACAAGTAGTTTGAAGAATTTGCATCTTTAGAAAAATTAAAAAAAAAAAAAAAATCCTTGCAAACTATTTTTTTTCATTGTCGGATATTTTAAAGGAAATCTTTAGCGTATTGTTGAAGGAGTAACGATTAGTAAGGTCAGACGAGAGTTGTTCGTGTCATAACAACGACAGTGGTAAAAGGTGTCAAGTTAAATCAGTAGCTTCAGTCTCAAATAAACTCTCTCTCTCTCTCTCTCTCTCTCTCTCTCTCTCTCTCTCCTCTATATATATATATATATATATATATATATATATATATATATATATATATATATATATATATATATATATATATATATATATATATATATATATATATATATCTCGCCTACTCTTCCTGCCTCTTAGTGTAAATGTAACCTTGTAAATACGCCCATGTAAGTAACAGTGTACATACATGTTATCGTACTTGTACATATTTGTGTACATACATTCCGGTGAGGAATAATAGTTTGCATACATTTATTTGAATATAAGTGTACACACATGTAGTTATAAGTGTACACACATGTGGATATAAGTGTAATCACGTTCATGTTCATATTAGTGTACATGAATTACATACACACACACAAACACACACACACACACACACACACACACACACACACACACACACACACACACACACACACACACACACACACACACACACACACACCGCTGCAGCATACGGGCGCCTGGCAAACCTGAGAATAGCGTTCCGATACCTTAATAAGGAATCGTTCAAGACACTGTACACTGTGTATGTTAGGCCCATACTGGAGTATGCAGCACCAGTCTGGAACCCACACCTGGTCAAGCACGTCAAGAAGTTAGAGAAAGTACAAAGGTTTGCAACAAGGCTAGTTCCAGAGCTCAGGGGAATGTCGTGCGAGGAAAGGTTAAGGGAAATCGGACTGACGACACTGGAGGACAGAAGGGTCAGGGGAGATATGATAACGACATACAAGATACTGCGGGGAATAGACAAGGTGGACAGAGATAGGATGTTCCAGAGAGGGGACACAGGGACAAGGGGTCACAACTGGAAGCTGAAGACTCAGACGAGTCACAGGGACGTTAGGAAGTATTTCTTCAGTCATAGAGTTGTCAGCAAGTGGAATAGCCTAGCAAGTGAAGTAGTGGAGGCAGGAACCATACATAGTTTTAAGAAGAGGTATGACAAAGCTCAGGAAGCAGAGAGAGAGAGGATCCAGTAGCGATCAGTGAAGAGGCGGGGCCAGGAGCTGAGTATCGACCCCTGCAACCACAATTAGGTGAGTACAATTAGGTGAGTACACAAACACACACACACACACACACACACAAACACACACACACACACACACACACACACACACACACACACACACACACACACACACACACACACACACACACACACACACACACACACACACAAACACACACACACACACACACACACACACACACACACACACACACACACACACACACACACACACACACACACACACACAAACACACACACACACACACACACCGATGTGTGTGTATGAATGTTTATTGTTGAAATTTAAGCATAATATAAACTTGGTTGTAATAATGTATATGTTTTTGTATTGATCAGTACGAGGTAAGGACAAGGCAGACACAGTGCAGGAGACAGGCAGCCGCTATGGTGGCGGCTATGGTGATGGTGGCTATGGCGGCTATGGCGGTGATGGTGGCTATGGTGCTGGCGGCTATGGTGGCTATGGCGGCTACGGCGCTGGCGGCTATGGTGGCGATGGCGGCTATGGTGGAGGCTATGGTGGAGGCTATGGTGGAGGCTATGGTGGAGGCTACGCTCCCTCCGGGTAAGAAAGGCGGCTATTGTTTAGTGTTATAAAAATATATGGAGAAACACTGCAGACTCGAGCCTCAGGACTCAAACACTTGGTATTTCATATTATGATATGACCCCTGCGGGCTTAGAGCTTTTCGTTAATCTCTAATTCCCTGGCTGTTTAATGGGTATATCGTTTATAATGCAGATTGATGTATTTGTGTATACGGTCTATTTGGAGTTTACCTACCTGGAGGGTGTTCCGGGGATCAACGCCCCCGCGGCCCGGTCCATGACCAAGCCTCCTAGTGGATCAGGGCCTGATCAACCAGGCTGTTTCTACTGGCCTCACGTGGTCCAACGTACGAACCACAGCCCGGCTGATCCGGTACTAACTTTAGGTATCTGTCCAGCTCCCTCTTGAAGACAACCAGGGGTCTGTTGGTAATTCCCCTTACGGCTTGTGGGAGGCTGTTGAATAGTCTTGGGCCCCGGACACTTATTGTGTTTTCTCTAAGTGTACCAATGGCGCCCCTACTTTTCACTGGGGGTATTTTGCATCACCTGCCAAGTCTTTTGCTTTCGTAGGGAGTAAGTTCTGCGTGTAGATCAGGGACCAGTCCCTCTAGGATTTTCCAAGTGTAGATTATGATGTATCTCTCTCGCCTGCGCTCCAGTGAGTACAAGTCAAGTGCTTCCAAGCATTCCCAGTAGTTAAGGTGCTTGACAGAACTTATACGTGGGGTAAAGGATCTCTGTACACTCTCTAGATCTGCAATTTCACCTGCCTTGAATGGAGATGTTAATGTACAACAGTATTCCAGCCTAGAGAGAACAAGTGCTATTACACCACGATCGCACATGTCAAAGGCCTTTGCAAAATCTGCACATACTACATCTGCATTCTGTTTAACACGGATTCGTCTAACACTGTATTTTCAGGAACCTAACTACCGTCTTAATCGACGATCTACTATACGTCTTTAGTCGTTGTTTCGGTCCATCCTGTGCCATTATCAAGTCAATAATGGTGAAGGAGAGAGCTGAGCGACAATTAAGGTTTCCTTTCTAATGTATGTTTTTTTTATAACTATTACAGGTGTGGTATTGTTATTTTTATTCTTCAGCTAAAAAAAATAATATATTAAAATCAGGGGAGAAGGTAAACAAACACTTAAGACCAGCATAGACGGTAGTAGAATGAGACAACTGTTCAACGTTTGGGAATCTTTACTGAGGAAAAGTTCCGCCAGCCAGCGACTTCTTGAGTCCAATACAGAGAATGACAGTGGAAGATGAGAAGGAGTTTGAGGTGATCAGTCCCTCAGCCTGGAGTCGATGAGTTCAGTTCATAAGTCTTGAGAAATGATGGACAGAACACATCGACTCCAGGCTGAGGGACTGATCACCTTAAACTCCTTCTCATCTTCCACTGTTATTCTCTGTACTGGACTGAAGTCACTGGCTGGCAACACATACATCAAATCAGTCACTGGGTATGCAGCAACACACACGTCAAGTCAATCACTGAGTCTGCAACACATATGACAAGTCTGTATCACCAGTGTGGGGTTTACACCTCACCAAACATGTATAGAAGTTCAAGGCTCAGAGGTTTACGTCCAGAGTGATCCTGGATCTAAGATTAAGGAACTACATGGGAGGCATCAAAGATATAAATCTCATTACATTGGATAAACCCCAAAAAAAATCTTTCCTGCTCTCCTCTATCCCTTACTTCATCCTCCTATCCCTCCCTCACTCCTGTGTAATTATCTCACTCTCTCCTAGCTACAGTGGTGCTTACCAGGCAGCCCCGCAACGAATCACCCGGCCACACGTCTCAATGGTACGTATACACCCGAGGTGTGTGGCTGCCATACTCTGTATACTAGTTATATTAAGGGAATACCAGCAGTGTGCGGCTACTCTGCTCTGTGTGATAGTTACATTATGGGAACACCTGCAGTGTGTGGCTACTCTTCTCTGTGTGATAGTTACATAAAGAGGCACTAGCCGTGTACGGTTACAAGGTACTAGCAACGACTAGTTGTGTTCCCCCTGCCATAGGCCATCACACAGGATGAGTTTCACGCAAAATGAAATCTGTCAGCCTGACCTGGGAGATTTCACTAGTCACTTCTCACGTTCATAAGACACTTTTTTTTATTTATCCCTCAGTAGTAATTTCAGTATACATATTCTAGTGATACGTTTAGAACAATGTACGGACCATGCATCCAAGTCTAAGTACCGGACGTACTGGCCTTCTCTACGTTTAGAACAATGTACGGACCATGCATCCAAGTCTAAGTACCGGACGTACTGGCCTTCTCAAAATTTTTATATTGAATTAATAATCTAACTTAACCTAATTTAAACTAACCTACCCTCAGCTCAGCTAGATAATATTTGTAGAGAAATCATAGGAAAACTCGTGTTAAAGTTACCGGCTTCATCGAGATGTAATAAGTATGTATGTGGCTTATGACTGTTTGAGAAAACCTTCCATGTTACATTTTGACTTATATGTATCCAGGAATCCTACTTTCTCGAAAAAAATTAATAACACACTAATTCCAGGACAGGTTGAGAGGCAGTGAGGATAATGTGTAGCCGCCCAAGTAACGGTGGGTTGGCTGAATGTACCGGAATCTTGGGGTCAGTGCTGAGGGGGATGGCCGCCCGGGTTCACCTGGCTGCCAGAATGACGAGTTCACTTGGCCGATCGAGTCATGGGTTCACTTGGCCGGCTTGTGTACTGACAATCCCTGAAGTTACTGTAACTCGGGAATTACCATCTTTTAGAATTAAAGGGGGACTTAAGAATTGAGGGGGGGGGGTGATGTTGAGAGGCGGAACCATGTAAGCATCGAAAAGTGAGGCAATTCTGGGAGGTGTATAAGACATGTATGAGAAAATTAAAACTTAATCTTTACAGTTGTTGTAAATTTGCAAACGTCATGTACGTTGTATTAATCTCCGACACATAAGGTATCTGAGGCTGTGTGTTGGACTGATGCAGACGTTGGATAAATGTAGTGGGGATGAAGTGCCGATGTTGTGTTGGTTTGACAGAAACATTGGATAGATATAGTGGGGGTGAGAAGTACTGACGTATGTTTGTTATTCAGACATCGGATGAAAGGGAAGCCATGACCGTGGGTCGGGCTGAGTACACCCGAGGGGAACTACAGTGGCAGATGGAGATGAAGAGACAACTGGAGGAAGAGAAAAAGCGGAAGAACGACCTGGAGGACAGACTGTATGAGGAGAGCATCCTGAAGCAGCAGGAGAAGATGAAGCGAGAGTACGAGGCTGAACTGGAAAAGAAGAGGAGGAAAGAGGAAGAGGTAAGATAAGATTTTGTTTGGGATTTTTTATCCGGGGGTGGGATAGCCACCTAGGGTAACGTCAGTGTGTCATCAAGGACTGTTTGCCTTATTTCCGTTGTGGTCTTTCAGTCTTGTACCCCAGGATGCGACCTCCACCAGTCGACTGACACCCAAGTATTTACTGCTAGGTGAACAGTGACAGTAGGTGTAAAATGACTAACACCCAGGTACTTACTGCTAGGTGAACAGTGACAGCAGGTGTAACAAGACTAACACCCAGGTACCTACTTACTGCTATGTGAACAGTGACAGCAGGTGTAACATGGACAACACTCAGGTACCTACTTACTGCTGTGTGAACAGTGACAGCAGGTGTAACATGAACGACACCCAGGTACCTACTTACTGCTATGTGAACAGTGACAGCAGGCGTAACATGACTAACACCCAGGTACCTACTTACTGCTATGTGAACAGTGACAGCAGGCGTAACATGACTAACACCCAGGTACCTACTTACTGCTATGTGAACAGCGGACGGAGGCTCAAGCCCCCACTATTCCTGAATGATCCATACAGGTGCAGTGCTTCAAAATAATAATAATAATAATAATAATAATAATAATAATAATAATAATAATAATAATAATAATAACAGTAACAATAACATAACAATAATAATAATAATAATAATAATAATAATAATAATAATAATAATAATAATAATAATAATAATGAAGAATTAGCGCACCTCTTGAAGGAGGAGCCACTTTGATCCTAGAGTTTGGTTCCTGATCCAAGTAATCTGAGGCACACTCCGTATCCTCGGATCAGAGTTTACCTCCCATAGCTGCTTCTCTACGAGTACCGTAAAAAATATAGTATTATATCTTTGATAATGCTACTACTACTACTACTACTACTACTACTACTACTAAAACTACTACTACTAATAATAATAATAATAATAATAATGATAATAATAATAATAATTGCCTCCAGAGGACCAATAAAGATGTATTAATCTCTTGTCAGCAAACTCGGCGGCGAGAGGCGCAGCTGAAACAGATGGAGGCCATATACCAGCAGACTGAGGGGGAGAGGAAAGCCAAGATGGAGAAGGTTAAGATGCTGGCTGACCTGCACGAGCCTACTCCAATGCCTAAAATCGACACGGGCCTGGACGCCCGGCTCATCAAGCCGCCCAAGGGCCATGGACCGCCCAGTCTTCAGGAGCCGCCCAAGCAACGGTGGGTTGGCTGGATGTACCAGAATTTTGGGTTCAGTACTGAGGGGGGATGGGCCGCCCGGGTTCACCTGGCTGCCAGAATTACGGGTTCACTTGGCCGATCGAGTCGTGGGTTCACTTGGCCGGCTTGTGTACTGACAATCCCTGACACTGACTGACTTGTCAGACAATTGACAGCAACCAGACAATAGGTACAAAACTCTGAGTAGCTGATAGATGAACAATTGGAACTAAAACTTAATTAGTGTGTAAACAGCGGCCAGATGAAGTGGATATAACTTACAGATAGACTTGATGGGATTGTGATATATGCAAAAATAAGTAATTAGATGACAGATGTCAAACTGGAAGCACTTGCTAGGTGACAGATACCAAAGTGGAATTAGGTGACACGCGTGTGGTACTCATCTTCCTCGTGTTGTTCACCTTCACATTCACCTTCACTGAGGAAACTTTGCGTTTTGATGTGTCGTTAATTACCTTTCAAGGTAGGTGCGTGCCTTGATGCCAGCGAAGGCCCTTAATCCAAAGAATACCTCCCATTCCCCAGTGGCCATACGACTCGTGCGGATTTAACGCAACCAGTGAATATTTGTTATAATGTATATATATATATATATATATATATATATATATATATATATATATATATAATATATATATATATATATAGTAATTTTTTTCCTCACCCCGCAGGAACCTGTCTACGAACGATGAGGATTTTGGTTTCAATCTTATCAAATCCGACCCCAACTTCTTGGCAGCTCAAAAACCCAACAAGTTTTTTGACGAGTAAGGTTGAACATAAGTGTGCAGTGAACTATATATGTATTCTGCTGATACAGTGGATTATTTGGAAGATGTTTTGGTAGGAATTTGAAATAATAATAATAATAATAATAATAATAATAATAATAATAATAATAATAATAATAAGAGAATGCAAAGGCACAATACCGTGACTGGAACAATACACAAATAACCCGCACATAGGAGAATAACACCTATGACTACTAAACAGTGGACCAAATCGGACCGAAACGTCGCCATAAGTTTCATTCTCCTATGTGCTCGTTATTTGTAAATAATAAAAATTTGTAGCCCTGGTGCAACGCTAGTTATTTTAATTGCGACAATCCACTAACAATTCAATTCTCTTCATTTGTTAGTTATCCTAACTATAGTTGTACAGTAAGACACATGTGTAAGACCTGTGTATTTTTCAATGACAAGACGTCAGTAAATACATACAGGTGTATCTTATTGATCATTTACCTTACCAGGTAAACTCCAGGTAATAAATCAACTCTCTTCGTATATTTAGTAGCCTAACTACACCCAAACAACCCACTAATAACTCATATTTCTTTGATTACCAATTAGCCCAACTACCATGAAAATGGCCAAGAACATCGAAGATCGAAAGAGACCGAAGCCGCTAGCGAGACCAGATCTCCCAGCAGCTCATATGGGGTAAGAAGCGTGTGTCTGCTTCACCAGTTGTGTTTACAAGAGTCAGATGACACCTGTCACCGCCTTCTACTCTTATCTGTGTCTTATATGTATGAGTAGCATGAAATGGGATTCTTACAATATAGTTGTTAGTAATAATTGTAGAATCACCGAGAGAATGTTAGGTAAATGAACACAGATGCAACTAATGTGATATTTTATTGTGGCAACGTTTCGTTTTCAGAAGCTTTGTCAAGCCGTTCCTGGAAGAGCGAAACATTACCACAATAAAATGCCACATTAGTTGCATCTGTGTCCATTTTCCTAACAATACAGTTGTTGATATGACAGGCGCGGACTGGAGATGCCTCGCTTGAGGAAGCAACAGCCTAACAGACCCAGGACTACCCTTCATCTTGGTGCCATGGATGATAACATTACACAAGGGTCACCATCACCACGCATGAGGCCTCCACAACACACTACAGGCACCACGAAATTCACGGAGTCCAGGGACCTGCAGACAGACTGGCTGCCACCAGCAGCTCACATGGAGAACCAAAACTTCAAACCAGAGGCTACGGATTTTAAGGTTCAAACCGCGTAAGTGGGAAGCGTTGGTTCACATTGGTGAGAAGATACAGTAGTCCTAGCTTGGTATTTTCTTTCTTGGAGATAAATGGTATAAAAAAACCGACACGATGGAAAATAAACACAAATGCAGTTTAATGGGTGAGGTAGGATAACTGATCCTAACCCGTAAATGAGGTGTTGGAGGATAACAGATCTCACATTATAAATTCACTGAGTAAACATGTGTTTTGAATATGCCCATCTTGAAATTCCCACCGTGAGGTGTATATCTCAGTGTATATTCACTGAGAGATGTACTGCTGTCTGTGTATACACACCGAGATGTATGTCTCAGTGTATATGCAATGTGAGGTGTAAATCTCTTAGTGTATGTACACCGATAGATGCATGTCTCGTATATTCCGGGAGATGTCTCTCATTGTATATACACCAAGAGATGGATGTCTTTCAGTGTACATACACCGAGAGTTGTATGTCCTTTTGTGTACGGACACCACAAGATGTATATGTATCAGTGTATATACACCAAGAGGTGGGTATATTATAATTCCGATTTGAAGGTTTGAAAAATCTGATTGGCGGCGAACAGGTTGTATACAGTATTAATGGCCCACATGTAGTCTACAATATTTCAAATCCCATTACCCAGCCTTCAGACAATCACATTCACGCCTCGTGCAATTATTTTTTTTTTACTCAGATAATTTTTTCCACGCGAGATCATTATTATATTCACGGAGAGGCGTAAACATGACTCGCGAAATCGTAATGTCACGATTGGAAACACACCGTACCACGGATGGGGTATGAACCCACGATCGGAGTCTCAAAACTCCAGACCGTCGCGCTAGCCACTGGGCCAGCTAGCTTCAATAAGATTCAGTGGTGCCTATGCTAACCTTCCTATGATGTAGAAATATACCTAGTCGGATGAATCTTATTGAAGCTAGCTGGCCCAGTGGCTAGCGCGACGGTCTGGAGTTTTGAGACTCCGATCGCGGGTTCATACCCCACCCGTAGTATGGTTTGAAAGGCGTTAAACCCGTGTGGGGAGGGGGCATGCAACTTTGGGGCATGGGAAATAATCGGGTTTGACCCAAGGGTTAAATTGCTCATATTCCTGGGATCAAGAGACTTTCAATATCAACCTTTCTTCAAGAATCCATGATAATTCTTGCATTTTTTTTTATCGTTTAGGGGCTAATGATACATGAAATAGGGACTTTCGTACCGTTAAAAATGATCAATCTCGATTACCTATCATTCCCCGTACGGGTTTAACGCTTTCCCATGACTGTAACAACTGGCTGGCATGTGGTATGTGTGTAGGAATGACTGGCAAGAGGCGCTGCCGCCGCCGCCTCCCAAGGAGGAAGTCCAGCAGCCCATGACTAAGGCTGCGCCCTTTGACTGGAAGATCCGCCTTCCTGAACCCTCGTTGGACGACAAGAAGAAATTAGATAAGAAGTCACAGGAGGAACTGAAGTAAGTGTAATTACCTCTTTGTAATTACTTATTGCAAACCACAGAGCTATGCTTGTGTTGTCCCGTCTTCACATATTTCTACGTCATATATTATTTCTTAAAATTCCAATGGTTGTAGCAACTGCTGCTTCCTCTTTATAATTCACCCATTGGTCACCTGCTAAAACATATAGTATCCCTCCACTTCTTTTGTCAGTTTACAACTATGGCCTCTTGTTACCAATTGCAGCTGCTTATTTTGTTGTGTTATGACCTTACATGTGCTTATCATGACTCTTCTTGTCAACCAGTGTAACATCTACAGTGTCTAACCTTTTATCACATTTTTTTTTTACCTCTGATAGCCCATTATAGCTTTTTCGACCTTTTCTAAAATATTTCTGTTTTATCAGGTGTCAGCACCACAAAGCCGCTGCATATTTTAATTTTGGCCTGATATATAATATATGTTATAGTTTTATTTGGTATTTATATGTTTGAAAAATATTTAATAGGTTGCTAGTGTCACATAAGACTTTCTTGCATTTTCGGTTATGTGATTTTCCGCGACAATTTTTTTTTTGATAATAACTCCCAGGTATTTATCTCTGATATTTTCAAAATTTTAATACACATGTGGCCTAGTTTTGTTTTTCCCATCTCTTTTGCATGACATTTATCTATATTAAGCGCTATCATAATTTATCATTCAGTTTGTTCCATTTATCCAAGTCATTGTGTAGAAATTTATTCTAATTTTTAGAGTTTAATGTGCTCGTGATTTATACATCCTCTCTAAAAATATTTATACAGGTTTTATACCTTCTGGTAAGTTAATCATGTAAGTTAAAAACATTATAGGGGCAAGTACTGATCCTTGTGGCACCCCACTGGTGACATTTTCCCACGAGGACAATTTTCTTCTGTAATTTAACATATTTTCCGCTCATCCGTTAAAGTAATTTGCCCTTTATCCCCCCCTCCTTCCCCCCAATGTTTTGCAGTTCCTATATTAGTCTTCCGTTAGAACTTTATTAAAAGATATCTCAAATCTAGATAAATACATTTAAGTCATTCATTTTTTAACAATGTCTGTGGCTCTGCTATAATAATTCAATAGATTTAATAAACGTGAATTTACAAATCGGGAACATAATTATTAACCATTTAGTCAGCTTTTGTTTTCCATGTGTTTTATTTACTGTCTCTAATGTCTTCTTGTTAAAAAACTGGCCTATAAGTTGAAGGGTCTTTCTTCCCTTGACATAATTTTTTTTTTAAATACAGGCATAATGTGTGCCATCTTCTATATGTTCACCAATTTTCCTTTTTGTAGTGAAATTATTATAATCATAATTAAACGCTAAACCCACAAGGGTCATACAGCGCTGTTCGTAGTGAATTACTAAAAAAATAATTCCAAGGAGGATAACATAATATAATATCTTATTTAGTTCCTCTAAAATTCCTCTAAAATTTAACTTTCATTTAATCTACTTGATGTCATTTACGTATTTTCTCATCGTCTAAGTCATTTAAAATCATATTTTATATATAATAGAATATGATCACTCTCTCAGAGTGGGTTTAATTTCTTCTTCTAGTCTTTTAAATACATACTGGGTTTAATATTGATTGTATGTTGACTTGTCTCACTCTTGCAGCGTTATTTATAATCCTAGTGAAGAGAATAATACCGTCATTACTTTAAGGAATTCAATTGACTATTTACAGTTCTTCTGTGTGTGCGAAAGAGATACAAATGTACATTTGTATTTCTGTCCTTATTATCTTTGTAATTTTGAATCTCTGATGGTACCTGTATCTATATCCCTGAAGCCACACTGTACACCATAGCTCAAAGCCACATCCCTGATCCTCTCCCACCCACACCCGCAGACAGTTCCAGGAGAGGAACCAAGACGTGCTGAGCCAACTGATGGACATGCAGACCAAGCTGAAGGCAAGTGCTCCTCGCAACCGTCGATTCATGCATCGTCCTCCTATCACATGGAATATTGCCTGGCCCTGAGTGCTGCTGCTGCTGCTTCATGGATGACTTATGCCTCGTTCTTCCTTGGTCTTGTGGCATGACCTGTTTTGAATGTGATGCACATATGAGTTCTGCTGTTATAAAGTCCTTTATTTTGCCTTTTTCTTGGCTTCACCGAGTGTAATATTCACGCGGATTCTTCCGTTTTCAAGCCTTTTTTTTCATATAATCTGCTATTCCTTGTATCTAATTGTTGATGACAGACACGTGAAATAGCGGCATCATGAAAAACATGTGTTCCTGACAGTAACTCTTCTGATGCACTAACAAAGAACACTGAGTGGGATAACCACACTGGCTTCCAGCATAGAGGTGTCAGCCACGCTACAGACCATACCAATCAGGCTGTTGTGCCACAACTAGGCACCACACACGACATTTTTGCATAAGAAGGGTTACAATCTTGGAGTCAGCGTTTAGTCTGATAATATTATTATGCACCTTGACACCCTTCCTGTGGGTGGTAGTCTAAAGATTACAGACACATAATAGGTCCAGGGAGTGGGCTTCATTCTTGATGGGAAAGCAAGTTACGGGAGAAAATATAAAATAAATCTGATAAAAAACAAGGGCGCTATAGGCAAAACAAGAGAGCACTGTGCCAGCGTTTGTGATCCAATACTGATCAACCTGCTATTAGCAGATATCAGAAATATTGCTGGGACGAGTGTAAAAGTCCTGAAGAGAAAAGTGGGTCACTAGCTTCGTCAGGCAGTTAATCAACCAGGCTGTAATGGCTATGTGTGCCAGTGCGGGTTATGTACGCACATAACCCGCAATTAGTAGGAGAAAGAAGCTGATGACGACGGTTCATTTCGACTAGGCCCACTGACAAGTCGCACTGACACATGAAGATGAGGGACTCTGTGTGTGTGTATATATATATAATATATATATATATATATATAATATATATATATATATATATATATATATATATATATATATATATATATATATATATATATATATTGAGAAAGGGACAGGGACTGGCTCCTTCATATTCGTGTTAGTGTGGCTTGTCACAGGTCCAAGTCCGGCCGATAGGTTATAAGCTTCTTTCTCCATGTGCGGGTTATTTGTGTATTGTTCCAGTCACGGGATTGTGCTTTTTTGTTCTTCATCAACAGACTGGTTGAACAGGCAGTCAACAACAAAGCCTGGCGAAAGGACGGGCTGATAGGGTGGAAAAGGCCTTGAAATCGATCACAGGTATTCAACATTTTAGCAAGGAATAGCTGTCTGGACAAGATTAAAGGGCCACGAGTTATTTATAAAAGACAAAGTCAGGGTATTTTTCCAGAATGGCTGATAATATGCCACTGTGAATAAACTACTTTGATATTTATTGAACATTTGTGAGCGAATTATTGAATTCAAGATTTTTCCACATTGCAGCACAAGGTATGACAATAGCTCCTGTGGCAAAGTTTACATTAGGATAGGTTTACATCATCTGGTGCTGCAGACTCCCAGATGGACCTGTAGACCAACTTCATCCTGGCAGTGGTGACATTCAGATGTTTGCTGATTTTATTGGATGCGCCAAACCTGTGTGTCTCCTGTATGATAGATGGACTGACTGGTGCTCTCTCTGTCTAAAGTCATTGAGGTTCATTTGAGGTTCTTTTTGTATTGTTCTCTAGCTGCTAGTGAACAGGCCAAAGCTGCAATCTGCTCCCTCCTTGAATGCATGTCTTTGTCATTTCATTAGTTCTAGCTTACATTTGAAAGACAATGCGAGGTTATCCATTAGCGTACTCCAATTCTCACTGTTTGCAGCTCTACCATACCTGTGTCTGGCCTCTGAAACGAGCATGGTACAATTAACACTCATTGAGTTGAGAGTATTTAGGGACGGTGGGGAATTGCCTACAATTAAACTGTCAACTTAATACGTGGACACTTCTGAGTGAAACTAGTATAGAAAACAGTCCAGTTTAAAGTGAGGAAGCCCAATAATATATGATGCATGCTCCAGTTTCTATATTGACAATAATGGCATTCATTACCAGCTGCATCAATGCGTTGAGGAACGGAGCCATCATCATTTGTGGACTAGTATACTGTATGACTAAGGCGACAATACAACTTAAGGCATCGTGCTTAGCTTTAAGGCGAACATTATTTTTTTGGGTAGGGTAAAGCGAGGATTTTGATTAGGAAAAAGGCAATTTCCCCTGATGCAGGGAAGTGAGACTGTTGCCTGGCTTGTCACAGATCGTGCATCAACTTCATTTGGAGGTCTGTTAGAATGTTCGTGATCCTTGTAGAGGAATGTTCACCAATGGTGAAGAAGTCAGGATTAACCTGAGCATATAAACACCAGTTCGGACATTTCTCTGAGTGACACAATCTCTGATATTTACAGGATCAAGTCCTTTCCAAATGTTTATAAATTTAGAAGTACGTGGGGATCCTAGGATGATCCTCATTGCTTCTGGCTCACACAAGAGCAAGAGAGTGAGTCATAGTCAACCAGAGATACAGTGTAACCAAAATACATAACTTTCACATTAACACCAGGAATGAAATACAAAATTAACCACTTAATGCATGAATAGACAAGAAAATCGGCGCAGATATCTATTTCACAACTTGTATGGTACACAATAGATAATTTACTGTCTCATACCTTGTATTCAAAAAAAAAAAAAAACAGTAGGCTGCGTATGCTCTAGTAATTTAGCCTAGTCTACACCACAAGGTACCAGGGAACTTAGTTATTCATCATTATTTAAATAACAATAATCCTAGCATATAAAGTCACTTTAATCTCTCATAACTTCTGTATTACTAACCCACAAATTACTGAGAAAATATTGAATTTTCGCTCCTTTTTTGTACATTCTTGTCTCCATCTCTCTCTCTCTCTCATTCGAATACTTTTTCAATGCTTTGGACAAATCAGACTAACCACAATCTAGTCAAGTAATTTTTCAATGCTGAACTCTTGGACTGTTTGCGTCCAGCTGAACTCTTGGACTGTTTGCGTCCAGCTGAACTCTTGGACGGTTTGCGTCCAGCTGAACTCTTGGACTGTTTGCGTCCAGCTGAACTCTTGGACGGTTTGCGTCCAGCTGAACTCTTGGACTGCGTCCAACTGAAGTCTTGGACTATTTGCGTCCAGCTGAACTCTTGGACTGTTTGCGTCCAGCTGAACTCTTGGACGGTTTGCGTCCAGCTGAACTCTTGGACTGCGTCCAACTGAAGTCTTGGACTATTTGCGTCCAGCTGAACTCTTGGACGGTTTGCGTCCAGCTGAACTCTTGGACGGTTTGCGTCCAGCTGAACTCTTGGACTGCGTCCAGCTGAAGTCTTGGACTAATTGCGTCCAGCTGAACTCTTGGATGGTTTGCGTCCAGCTGAACTCTTGGACTGCGTCCAGCTGAAGTTTTGGACTATTTGCGTCCAGCTGAACTCTTGGACTGTTTGCGTCCAGCTGAACTCTTGGACGGTTTGCGTCCAGCTGAACTCTTGGACTGCGTCCAGCTGAAGTCTTGGACTATTTGCGTCCAGCTGAACTCTTGGACGGTTTGCGTCCAGCTGAACTCTTGGACTGTTTGCGTCCAGCTGAACTCTTGGACGGTTTGCGTCCAGCTGAACTCTTGGACTGCGTCCAACTGAAGTCTTGGACTATTTGCGTCCAGCTGAACTCTTGGACTGCGTCCAGCTGAAGTCTTGGACTAATTGCGTCCAGCTGAACTCTTGGATGGTTTGCGTCCAGCTGAACTCTTGGACTGCGTCCAGCTGAAGTTTTGGACTATTTGCATCCAGCTGAACTCTTGGACTATTTGCGACCAGCTGAAGTCTTGGACTATTTGCGTCCAGCTGTCCCCCGGAACCCTCATCCAATCTCTTCGATCCTAAGTCGAAATTTTTACTGTTACGTTATTTATGCTAGGTTACGTTAGGTTAAATTGTTGATTAATAACCAAACATTGAGATATAATAATGTGTGACAACATCAGTACAGTCACCCCTCTTATAAAGCACCTCCATAACAATGCATTTTTTTTGTTATAAATGCGATTGAAAAAATAATTCAAAATTGAATAACGCGTGACAAGGCCTTTATAGTTCCGCTTGTTCAATTTTGGATAGACTTTTTCAATCACATTTATAAAAATAATAAATCACATTATATAGAGGAACTTTAAAAGAGGTTCGATTTGATTGCACTCGTGGGAGAGCGCTAAACCCGTAGCTGTCATCCATCGCCTGGGGGGAATGGGAGGCATTCAGATTCGATCCAAGGAAGGGGATCACAGATCGACTTACTTGGCTCAAGACGCTATTCCTCTCACCAGCATCAAGGAAACCTGGATAAATGGCAAGGGAGATTTGTAAGAGCTGAGAGTAAATGGCATGGGAGATTTGTAAGAGTTGAGAGTAAATGGCAAGGGAGATTTGTAAGAGCTGAGAGTAAATGGCAAGGGAGATCTGTAAGAGCTGAGAGTAAATGGCAGGGGAATTTGTAAGAGCTGAGAGTAAATGGCAAGGGAGATTGTAAGAGCTGAGAGTAAATGGCAAGGGAGATTTGTAAGAGCTGAGAGTAAATGGCAAGGGAGATTTGTAAGAGCTGAGAGTAAATGGCAGGGGAGATTTGTAAGAGCTGAGAGTAAATGGCAAGGGAGATTTGTAAGAGCTGAGAGTAAATGGCAAGGGAGATTTTTGGACAGTGAACAGAAAACTGGGATCCACGGAGCTGGCCATACAATACACAACCAGATAATCACTGTTACATTCCAGTGTTACAGTTGCGTTTCTGAATGTCTAAGTGGAGGTATATTACTGCTTCTTAGACACAAGTGTAACACTGATTAGGAGGATGGGGTGCAACACAGATTTGGCGTGGTCTGTTGTGTGGGTTAATGAGTGGTTCTCCAGCATCGAGGTGTGTTGGCTGGTGCTACTCGGTGAGTACCTACGTCTCGTTTCTGTCTGCATGTATATGTGTTTGTATGTCTGTGTGTGTTTGTGCTTGCATGTCTTTGTCTGCATGTGTGCATGTGCGTGTCTGCATGTCTTTGTGTGCACGTCTGCATGTCTGTGCGTGTCTGTATATCTGCATATCTGTGTGTACTCACTTATATGTGGCGCTTAACTCCTGGCCCCTTCTGTCAACTTTCCGCTTTCCAGA